GGGGCAAAACAGGAAAAAAGGCATAACGAAAAATATGAGCCGTCGAGGTTTGGCGAACGCGCGAGTCTGAAGAGAGATTTTGTAAAACTTTAATTTATTAACTTCAGCTATATAAACAATAACTTCAACTCTTTGTAGCTATAATTGTACAGCTATAACCAGTGGCACAGCCAGACCTTAATTTTTTTGGAGGGGGGCGAACCTCACGCCGAAGGCGTGAGACCGTCTAGGAGGGTTATGATTTGTGAATTGCAACTTGGCTCACCTTCACTGAAAGAGTTGTGCCAAATGCCTCATCCCCTTCCTATGCCCCTGCCAGTCCTTGTCTCACTGAACTGCCTAACTGTATATAGTTCACTGGATCGTCTATGATAAAAGTGAGCGCGCGCTCCATCACTCCTTGCGCGCTCACTTTCCCTCACCAGAAACTTCATGTAAGCCTCTGCGGGTGGGTTCATTCAAGGCGAAAATTTTAGTCAAAAAACCCGCGAGTTCAAAAGTTCATTCATAAAAGTTCATTCATAAAAGTTCATTCAAGGCGAAAATTTTAGTCAAAAAACCCGCGAATTTTGAGTTACTGCCAGCAGGGTAAGGGATTTTTGTCCTAAACAAAATATCAATAAGAATATCGCTATATTTTGGTTCGCTCTTGTTGTTGTCTACTTGTCTTGTTGATCAATTGTCCAATGATCAGGCTGTTCATTTTGTGCTGCATTGATTTAAGATCGTGAAGATATGGAAGTGGAATGTCAGGAGACTCAGGACTGCAGGCAGATACAGGTTGTGGTAAGATTGAAAGGAGGTTTGATCGAACTTGATGGGACAATGGAAGCAGCGAAAACCGAAGTAATGAGCAAACAGCCACCTAAGATCCAGGAAAAATTCAATAATGATATCCACAAGCAAGATATTTTGGTTGCAAGTGGTGAGTGTGATGGTGCAGAAATATTTTCATGGGATAAAAATGCTTGGTACGAGATTTCAGAAATGAATGAATCTCATGTGGCAGCATCATCGTTTGTTTATAATAACAAGCTTTTTGTAATTAAGGGAATATCATGCACTGAGACAATCGAGACATTGGATCTCAATGAACTACCTTTGAAATGGATTGAATTTTCTGATGAATTTCCTGATCGCATCAGGGATGCAAAATTTGTTGTTTATAGACATCGTGTCATTGCAATTTGTGCATGTAATGAAGACGACGACACAAAGTCTAACATGATTTGTGAATTGCAACTTGGCTCACCTTTCACACTGAAAGAGTTGTGCCAAATGCCTCATTCACTGGGTTTTCAAGGCACTGAGGCTTTTGAAGACAAAGTCTTGATCTTGGGAGGAATAGCTGATGGTGATGTTTTAGACAGTGTGTTGGAGTTTGATCCAGAGAAGAATGAATGCAAGGAGCTGCCACCATTACCACATCCCTTGTATGGAATGGGAACGGTTCATTGGCGAGATCAAGTAGTTGTACTTGGTGGAAGTAGTTTGAATGATCAACCTCTGAATGATGTTTACATGTATGATTCCAAGACGGGAATAATCACAGTCTTACCACCCATGTTGAAGAGAAGAAACGGATGTTGCGCAGTTATTACTGGAAATACAATCGTAGTCATGGGAGGTATGAGTGTGAATGACGAATATGATGAGGAATATAAATGTCTCAATTCAGTGGAGTATTTTACAATGGGAGGATCTACATGGAAGTATCTTCCTAGTATGAATAAGGAAAGATGGGAAGCAGTTGCTATAGCTCTACCTTCAACAAGAAAATATGTTTAAGTTTGACATTTCACATTTTTCTGCAAATTTATGTTAGATCGTTGTGTTCAGAGGTAACATTCCAGACATTTCTCCACCCAAGCTTGGATTTCTGACTGAGGGTAAAGTAATACAAGCAACATGCTAAAGCTGATTTCAACACCATGTTATGATCAAAGTGTTTTTGCATATTATCTTGTCTCGTTTAGCCTAAGTTATTGTATGCCTAAATAATTTCTTTAAACCAGCCTTTGTTGCCAGTTGAAGCCATTGTCACAGAATAAGAAGGTACAGCAGAAGCATAACTCGAGTTGTTTCCCTTATTGTTTTACGTCCATGAAAATTTTAACTCGCTCACGCCATCCTGGCTAGTACAACCGGAAGTTTTTATCAGGTTTTGGTAGGTACAAAGTGCCGGTTGTACTAGCCAGGATGGCGTGATTGATGACGAATCACTTGTAAAAACGCGGACAAATACTTGCTTGAGTTACACTTCTGCTGTACCTTCTTATTCTGTGCCATTGTGTTGTTCGTATTGCTATGTACCTTGGCTGAAATAAGCGAAAGTACTAGAAATTAATGTACTTATTTTAAAGTCAAAAACTACCAGCAAAACAAGTTTACCGTTGTGAGAAGTAAAAATGGTTGTGTAAAGATAATTGTGAAAAATAATAAGTTTGTGAGCTCACTATATTTTGCTTAAAATTGGCTATATGAGCTGTACAATCAATCATTTTTTGTACGCTTATGCACATTGATCTTTCTGATATGTTAAGTGTGAACGGCATTTAACTACAGCTAAAAAACCAGGTTTCATTTTTTTTAACGTATAATTAACTGATGATGTTTCAAAATAAATTTGATTTAAGTTTGTTAATCTTTTATAAAGTTACTTTAGTTTAGATTTCCTCCTGTAGTAACACTGGATCAATAAGAGATGATCTTTACTGGACCTTTAGGAAGAACAGTTTTACTGATAGAGCTATCCAGTATAAATAAAGTTAGTTTAGTTTGGGTTTCCTCCTGTAGTAACACTGGATCAATAAGAGATGATCCTTACTGGACCTCTAGGAAGAACAGTTTAGAACTGATAGAGATATCCAGTATAAATAAAGTTAGTTTAGTTTAGGTTTCCTCCTGTAGTAACACTGGATCAACAAGAGATGATCCTTACTGGACCTCTAGGAAGAACAATTTAGAACTGATAGAGCTATCCAGTATAAATAAAGTTAGTTTAGTTAAGGTTTCCTCCTGTAGTAACACTGGATCAACAAGAGATGATCCTTACTGGACCTCTAGGAAGAACAGTTTAGAACTGATAGAGCTATCCAGTATAAATAAAGTTAGTTTAGTTTAGGTTCCTCCTGTAGTAACACTGGATCAATAAGAGATGATCCTTACTGGACCTCTAGGAAGAACAGTTTAGAACTGATAGAGCTATCCAGTATAAATAAAGTTAGTTTAGTTTAGGTTTCCTCCTGTAGTAACACTGGATCAATAAGAGATGATCCTTACTGGATCTCTAGGAAGAACACTTTAGAACTGATAGAGATATCCAGTATAAATAAAGTTAGTTTAGCTTAGGTTTCCTCCTCCTGTAGTAACACTGGATCAATAAGAGATTATCCTTACTGGAATCCAGTGTTACTACAGGAGAAAACCTAAACTAACTTTATTTACACTCTGTCTGGATATAGCTCTATCAGTTCTAAACAGTTCTCCCTAGAGGTCCACCGTCCAGTAGGAATCATCCTTTATTGATCCAGTGTTACCACAGGAGGAAACCCTATTTATACTGGATAGCTTCAATAAGAGATGATCCTTACTGGACCTCCAGGAAGAACAGTTTAGAACTGATAGAGCTATCCAGTATAAATAAAGTTAGTTTAGTTTAGGTTTCCTTCTGTAGTGACACCGGATCAATAAGAGATGATGATCCTTACTGAACCTCTAGGAAGCATAGTTTAGAACTAATAGAGCTATCCAGTATAAATAAAGTTTGTTTAGTTTAGGTTTCCTCCTGTAGTAACACTGGGTCAATAAAAGATGATCCTTACTGGAATCCAGTGTTTTTACAGGAGGAAACCTAAACTAAACTAACTTTATTTATACTGGATAGCTGTATCAGTTCTAAACTGTTCTTCCTAGAGGTCCAGTAAGGATCACCTCTTGTTGATCCAGTGTTACTACAGGAAGAAACCTAAACTAAACTAACTTTATTTATACTGGATAGCTCTATCAGTTCTAAACTGTTCTTTCTAGAGGACCAGTAAGGATCATCTCTTATTGATCCAGTGTTACTACAGGAGGAAACCTAAACTAAACTAACTTTATTTATACTGGATAGCTGTATCAGTTCTAAACTGTTCTTTCTAGAGGACCAGTAAGGATCATCTCTTATTGATCCAGTGTTACTACAGGAGGAAACCTAAACTAAACTAACTTTATTTATACTGGACAGCTCTACGAGTTCTAAACAGTTCTTCCCAGAGGTCCACCGTCCAGTAGGAATCATCCTTCATTGATCCAGTGTAATTACCACAGGAGGAAACCTTATTTATACTGGATAGCTTCAATGAGAGGTGATCCTTACTGGACCTCTAGTAGTATAAATAAAGTTTTCAGTATAAATAAAGTTTTCAGTATAAATAACGTTTTCAGTCATTAGTTTCTATGGTTCATGAAAGTCATGTCTTGCATACAGTACCAACAAACAAGCCATAAAGCAAAAACAGTCTGTTTTAAAAGTTACTGAAATTTGATGTTTGTGGTGTTACTCTGAGTGTATATCCACACCGAGCGAGCTTGAAAAATATGCCCGGCCACGGTGGGAATCGAACCTACGACCTTTGGAATACTAGCCCAATGCTCTGCCAGCTGAGCTACGCGGTCAGGTGCTCAGTTGGCAGAGCATTGGGCTAGTGTTCCAAAGGTCGTAGGTTCGATTCCCACCGTGGCCGGGCATATTTTTCAAGCTCGCCCGGTGTGGATATACACTCAGAGTAACACCACAAACATCATATTCACCTGAGTACACAACACCAACACAGAAAATATCATATTACAAGATTACACTGGTATAGAAGGAACTAGATTCTGTTCCGAAATATCACTTACTCGAACCGTCCTGACGCGTAGCTCAGTTGGCAGAGCATTGGGCTAGTATTCCAAAGGTCGTAGGTTCGAATCCCACCGTGGCCGGGCATATTTTTTAAGCTCGTCCGGTGTGGATATACACTCAGACTAACACCACAAACATCATATTCACCTGAGTACACAACACCAACACAGAAAATATCATATTACGGAAATTTATTCAAATAAATTCTGCAAATATTGAAGTATAATACAGCATTATAGTAGAGTCAAACTTATAATAATAAACTATAGTGTCTAACTTGTCAACTTAACTGGAAATGTTGCAAGGTAATCCAGGGGTTAGTTAGAAGAAATAGCCGCAGTCACAACGCTGTGGTCAGAGACGCCGGAACTGGGGGGGCAGGGGCAAAGGTGCCCTTTCAATTGAAAGATTGCCTTAGCGAAATAGCGGCATTGAGCTTCAAAAGTAGCACAATCGCCTGGCGATTTTTTGGGGTGGTGCTGAACGAGCAAATGTGAACACGAATATATAAATATTGCCCCCCCCCCCAATTATCGAGTTTCCTACGCCACTGGTGCTGGAGTCAGCTGGACTTCTCTAGAGGGAAGGGGAGTGGCTAGACACCACAAGGGGGTGCACAACCCCATGCCCCCCCCCCCTCGGCATTCCAATACTCACATATACACCCAACAATTCTTACATTATCCATAGACAGTACTTTGGTTGGGTTTTCTTTCGTTCCTCCTCCTAGAGGTAAAATTAATGAGCAACAACATTCTCTCCTAACTGTGTGAAATGCTGGAACAGGTTGTTCTTCGTCTAAAAGGGAATTAAATCATTGTTAAGAGAATAACACAAGTGGACGAGTTAGAATGAACAAGATAAAAACGTTGTTCACCTACCACACAAAGATTGAGCTCTTTGAGAATTTTTCACTTTCAAAATTGAATCATCTGAAGATCATCCACGACAAACAAGTTGTATATAAGAGCACACCTCTGTGCTTGTCATTATTTTATACGCCAATAATTGAATATATCACTTTTCAGTTGACCATTTGCGTAATAGACTAAATTTTGAACTCAACAAGTCTGGACAAAAATTTCATCACAGCTTGAAAGAGCATCACAAAATTAGTAATATTCCAAAGTTTCGTTGCGAAATGTTGTAAAATGCGGATAATATAGCCTTGCGAAGTTTGCAATTTTCAGTCATTTTAGATTACAAACGGGAAATTGACAGCCTCAAAGCGTATCGTATATAAAAAATATTCTTTACATCTAATTTTGCGACCAAATTCCTTAACATCCCTTTTAATAGCCGACCAATCTAGTTCTTTTGGAGTCGGACAGAACTTAAGCCCTTTAGACAATAGAGAAACCTCAGCTTGCGTTAATATTGTACTAGAGATATTTACTTCGATTGTGACTCTGAGGGTCTATTATATTTGATTAGTTGTAAATTCTGTGGGTTGCAATATGTGGGGAATACCATAACACCGTTCAGATTGCGATTTAATAACCACAAGAGTGCATTAAATAGATATGGGCGGGGGCAGAGAAATATTTGTGGGCAACAATTGTATGCCCATTTTTGGGGGAGGGACATTCAGGTCTAAGTGATTTTTTAGTGCAGGTTATTGACGTCACGGACGTTAATAACCCCACTGAGAGGGAGAGTTTTTGGATTGAGAAACTAAATAGTTATGTCCCACGTGGGCTTAATTTAAGGGAAGAGGTTTAATTAATTTATGCATAGCTAAACGTTAGACTATTTAAGCAAGAGACGGAGATGATGTAGCGTTATTCTGAAGAAGGGGCTTGTCCCCGAAACGTAAAAATATAATTTATTTACTTTGAAGATTTATGATTTCTTGATATTTATAAATGAAGATTTTTTGGGGCTGGCTCTTGATATATATATATATATATATATATATATATATATATATATATATATATATATATATATATATATATATATATATATATATATATATATATATATATATATATATATATATATATACCGGGTGGCGCAAAAAAAAGTTCACGCGTTTGATTTAGTACAGCGAAAAAACTATAAGTGTTACGTTCCTCAAATAAATGTTATCCTATCCAGGAAGGCCTAACTTAAATTTTGATGTATAACACATGCATTTTTGTTTAGTATTACCCAAGATATTGGTAAATCAATTTGAATATGCAATTTCAAAACGTTCCAAAATTAGCTGAAAATAGCCTATTAAATACGAGTAAAGGAATTAACGATATATGAAGAACACAACGGCAGTAAATAACGCGTTTATCATGGAAAATTAAATAACTATATTCTTGCACGTGTGACCATACTATCGAACGAATTAACGTTGGATTTATTTGCTGGTCAAAGTTATGGCAATCAGCAATAATCGCTTCACGAAGCTGTCTCAAATTGTTCGGTTGTTGATCTAATTTAATTCCCTGTAGCTATGGGACATGGAATACTGCAAAGCAATTCTTAATTAAAAGAGCCATCTTTTTCGAAATTTTGTTGCTTTTCAAATGATAATAAAACAAATAAATAAATAAGGAAAATCATTCGTTACACGTTTCAATTCAAATTAAATTCATACAAGCGAATATGTCTGACGAAATTCTAAAATTTATCAAAACAGTTTAATAGGCCATTTTTAGCCAATTTGTCAGATTTTCAAAACTTCGTTTCAAATTTTATTTGGCGATATCTCAGTCAATATTGCACGTAAATAAACATGCTATAGCTCAAAATTTAAGTTAGACTATCATGAATACAGCTACGTTTATTTCAGGGATGTAACCCTTATAGATTGTTCGCTGTACTAAATCAAACAGTTATACTTTTTTTTGCGCCACCCGGTATATATATATATATATATATATATATATATATATATATATATATATATATATATATATATATATATATATATATATATATATATATATATATATATATATATATATATATATATATATATATATATATATATATATATATATGTTGTATATATATATATATATATATATATATATATATATATATATATATATATATATATATATATATATATATATATAT